CCGGACGCCACGATTTTTAGCAAAGCGTAGCAAGGTGCACATGGCCTCGCTCTCGCCGTAATACTAGCTACATATTTTGGTCCAGACTGCCACGAGTTCTTGTTACAAAAGTAGTGATATTGATATTGATATTGTCAATTCAGATGAGCATGAAGTATTGATATTGATAGTTTTCAGGATTTTCAGGTTTTCCCGTTCTTCCGCGCGGGCTCCAGGGACGAATGGTCGAGCGCATTCCGTCGCGCAGGTTTTTGGCGCGATGTGCGCGGTGCATTTTTCGCGCATCGGAGCGCCCTCGGAGATTCCAAGTTGCATTATGTTGTGCTCTCGGGGGGTCCGTGAGTCGCAGCTGCCGTGGCGCGATTTTCGGGGTAACCCCTTCGAGTGGTGCTCGCGGGCGCAGGGCGCGGCGCGCGCTGCGCCAAATCGCACGCGGCGCGGCGCGTGAATCAGCCGGCCGCGTCCGTCGGACCGCCCCTGAAAAAACCTGGGTTGTAGAATGCAACAAAAAAAATACGGTTTTTTGGCGCAAGCGGTTTCGGAAATTTCCAAAAATGAGTCCTGACATTTCTTCCAGCAGCACAGAATTTTGAGGGGTGGAATGCGCCCGCCGCGCAAGACATCTGAAGGTTTTCTGAAATCGAGAATGTTCCAAAACTGATTCCAGAACTTTTCTCAACATATACCTCGGAATTTTGCAACATCGATGTTAGGAATTTCAAACAGCATGCCGGACATTTTCAAAAACGTTCCCGGATCCGTTTTTCAAATCTACCCCAGGAGACTGTTCAAGAATCGCGTGTGTTTTTTCTTACCAGGTCTTTGAACATCCGCCGAGGCGCGCAGTGCGCGGCGGCGGGCGACGGGACAGTGCGCCACCGTCCCATCCACGCACGGCAACAAAAAAAGGGGATCAGCAAGTGCCGAATAGCCCCCATACGGGCGACCTCATTACTCGACTGCGAATGGGTGACCGACCAGCGGCGCCAGGCAGACTAGACAATATTCGACGCAAAGTGTACCCCGCGCGAAGGCTGTTAGAAATCCCGGATTCCCCGGAACGTATCAATCGCACGCTGTGTCAATATATTCTTCTCGTCCTACCAATGCTGGCTGCATTTTGGTCTGGACGGCACGATTCCTCGAACGTCATCCTTGCGAAGAACTCAAACGTACGCAGTTGTGAAGAGCGTGATTGTGAGTACTTTCTTCGGTGGAGCGCGTTCGGCGACCGCGAACAGTATGAGGGTTGTGCCGAAGTGGGTGTGGTGCCGCCATGCGAATCCAGCCAGTGGGGTTGGGTGGAGCTCCCTGGGGCCACGACTCGTGTGACGGGTGTGCCGAATTGTGGGCGGGTGCGCCATGCGAGCTTTGCCGCTGGGACCTTCGGTGGAGTTCCTTCTGGGGCCACGAAGAGTGTGAAGGGTGTGCCGAATTGTGGGCGCGTGCGCTATGCGAACCCTGCCGTTGGGGCTTTCGGCGGGGCTCCTTGCGGCGCCACGAAGCGTGTGAGGAGTGTGCCGAATTGGGCGGGGTGATGCCATACGGGCGTGGCCGCTCGGGCAGTCAATGGACCTTGTGACGCAGCCACGAAACGTATTTTTGGGTGTGCCGAATTGGGGACAGGTGCGCCATGCAAACTTTGCCGCTGGGGCCTTCGGTGGAATCCCCTCTGAAACGAATCGGGCGGTGCCAAGATTGGGCAGGCGCGCCAGGCTGAGCCCGCTGCTGAGGTTTTTGATGGGGCTCATCCTGGGGCAACGCAGTGCGTGAACGGTGTGCCGCATCGGGGGCGGGTGCGCCATGCGACTTTGCCACGGGGGCCTTCGGTGGAGCCCCCTACGGGGCCACGGAACGTGTGAGTGGTTTGCCGCATTGGGGGCGTGTGCGCCATTTGAGCTTTGCCGTTGGGGCCTTCGGTGGGGTTCCGTACGGGGCCACGAATCGCGAGGGGTGTGTGCCGCATGTGGGGCGGGTACGCCATGCGACACAACAGTCGGGGCTTTCGGCGGAGCTCCCTACACGTTCCACGAAACGCGTGAAGGGGGGGCCGAATTAGGGGCGGGTTAGCTCTGCGAGCTTTCCCGCTAGGGGGTTCGGTGGAGTTTCTTACGGGGCTACGCAGCGTGTTGGGGGGTGTGCCGCATGTGGAGCGGGTGAGTACGCCATGCAAACCTTGACGTTAGGGGTTTCCTTGGAAGTCCTTTCAAGGCCACGAAACGTGCAAAGGGTGTGCCCCGCTGTGGGCGGGTACGCCATGCGAGCCTTGCCGCTGGGGCCTTCGGTGACGCTCCCTACGGGGCCACGAAAGTATGCGGAGTGTGCCGAACTGGTGGCGGGTGCGTTGGGGCTTTCGGTGGAGCTGCTTAAGGGTCCACGAAACGTGTGAGCGGTGTACCGAATGCGGGGCTGGTAAATATGCCAAGCGGGTCTTGCCGCTGGAGCCTTCGGTGGACCCCCTTTATGGGATCACGGAGCGTGTGAAATGTGGGCCGTTAGTGGCACCATGCGAGCCTTGCCGTTGGGGCCTTAGGTAGAGCTCCCCCTGTGGCCACGAAGAGAATGAGGGGTGTGCCGCATGGGGGGCGGGTGCGCCATGCGAGCCCTGCCGCTGGGGCGGGCCTTCGGTGGAGGCCCGACCGGGGCCACGAAACGTGTGAGTGGTGTGCCGAATTTGGCAGTGTGATGCCATGCGGGCGTTGCCAGGGCCTGCAGTGGTTCCCTACGGGGCCAGGACACGCGTGAGGGGTGTGCCGACATTGGGATTCGGAGGGCAGAGGCACTGATGGGAGGAGGGAGGAAGAGGAGGAGGATGAGGAGGAGGAGGAGAATGAGGAGGAGGAAGTGGAGGAGGAAGTGGAGGAGGAGGAGGAGGAGGAGGAGGAGGAGGAGGAGGAGGGCGGCGGCGGCGAGCGCACGACGACGGCTGGGCCTCCCTGGAGGGCGGGAGGGGCAGGTGTGGCACGGTATGGTATGGTACGGCAGGTGTGGTATGGTATGGTAGGTATGGTATGTTATGGTAGATGGTGCGTGACATGGTATGGAAGGTATGGTATTGTAGGTTTGATGTGGTAGGTCTAGTACGGAATTGTACGTACGGTATGGTATGGTATGGTAGCTGTGGTATTGTATGGTAGGTATGGCATGGTAGGTTGGGGAAAACACCTGCGCCAACACGCCCTCCGCCAAGAGGCTCGTGTACGGTCGATATACCTGCCATGCGCGGAGCCCCCAATGGGGCCACGAAGCTCGAACCCCCCATTGGCCTTAAGCGCGAGCTCCCCATACAGGTCACGAAACGCGTGGTGGTGGTTTTTTGAACCCATGGATACCAACGCCCGTCCCCCCCAGGCTCCCGCCACGCCATGATGAGGGCGCCAGGGTCCCTGCGGCCGCCGTGCACGCCATCCGTGTATAGAGCCCCACCCACCAAGTGGGCGGGACGTACCTGGAGGGGTTGCCGCGGTGCGGGCACCCCTCCAGTTACCAGCAGTCCCGCGGCTGCCCCTCCGGAAGAGGCAATCCCACCCAGCAGGGCGCCCACCGCGCCCTCGTCCCGAGGGTCGGGGCGGGCGGGCTCGCGCTGCAGGTAGCGCGCGAGCCCCCAGCCGCCCTGCAGCTGCCGCCGCCCCCCGCGGGCCCCGCGAGTCCCGTGGGCCTCGGGCAACTGGGTGCCCCTCGGCCCCGCGTGGCGGCTCCAGGCGCCAGGGCAGGAGTGCGGAACGCAATCTTGCCCACCGCGAGCCCGTTGGGCCCGTGCCCCATCCATGCAGAGGGTGGCCGTGGCCCAGAACACCAAGATGAAGAAGTTCAAGCCCGAGGATCGCGCGAAGTTCCGACGGCGCGAAGGCAGATCTCTGGCGCGAGCCAGACTCCAAGGATGATCCAAGATGGCGGGGACCCTGCGAGGTCGTCAAGGTCTACCAGGACGGCTCCAATGCAGTGGTCGACTGGAGAGGCCTCATCACGCCCACACATTGGTTTCGTTTGGCTCCTGAACCAGAAGCGGCATCATGGTCGAGTCCGCGCCGTGCGGCACGAGTTCAACGACACCGTCAAGCAGATAATGGAGATAGTGGAGTCAGGAGCAGCACTCTCATCCTACACGTACGGCCTGGCGCATTCGAGTTCGGATCGCAGTGGCGGCATCGCGCCGCCAGAACTAGAGCAGAATCCTCCACCGCTGTGGACGGCTGCTCAGAAGGTCTTCACAGGAGTATTCAACGGCACGAAGTTCGATGGCACCCAATTCGGCCACAAGTGCAAAAGAACGGACGCCATCTCGGCAGCACAGCGCGGACAGCTCATAGCCTGGAACAACAGCAGACGCGAGAGCCACATGATTCGTGACGCGGTGCCGGACAAGGCTCTTCCGCTCTCTTTCTCAGGGCCGCAGAAGGATGAAAGTTTCATATTCTATTTCAGCTACGGCAAGCCAAGCGACGAGATCGAGGAGACGCCAGGAGCCGACTTCAGCGGAGTTGGTGGCACATCTCCTATTCCATGGATAGCATCATCGTGGACGTCGTTGCGGGGCTCCTGGCTGGAGGCAGGCGAAGAGGAGGACGATCATCATCAGCAAAGTGGCCCTGGAGATCCTCCTGGGCATGGTCTTCCAGTGGCTCACCCACCGCGTCGGCCTCAGCAGCCTCCACCGCCAGTCAAGGCTCCGCCTGCGAGGCGCTAGCCTCCAGCGGAACCAGTGCAGTTAGCTCCGGTACCGAAGCAGAAACCGCAGCCATTGTTCACACCGTCCGCGCTTGGCTCTCGCGCAATCCCGCATGCACGGACAAGTGCATTGTCACGCTCGACCTCAGCAGTGCCTTCAACGCGGTTGACAGGTCGGCGGTTCTGGCCGCTACCCGGAGGTGGCGCCCTTCTTGGGCACCTTGGGCGGACCTATGCTATCGGAACAGTAGCAACCTTCGGCTGGGGGGCGAGCGAATCCAGAGTGCGAGGGGGGTTCAGCAGGGGGGGGCCCTGGGCCCAGCGCTCTTCAGCTTCGCAATGCACGAGCATGTCCTGGCTGCCCGGGCGGCTGCCGACGCCATGTTCCCAGGCGAGCTCGAGTTGTGCGCGTTTTATCTGGATGATGGCGTCGCGGGGGGGACAGCTCGGGCTGCGTCGGCTTTCTGTTGCCAGCTCAAACACCGTTTGGCTGGGATCGGCCTGGAGCTGACGCCTTCGAAATGCGAGGTCGTCCCGACGGCCAGCCAGCACCAGTTGCCCACAGATGCGTTCCCTGGGTTCACGTGGCACGCGGATGGCAACTTCAAGCTCCTTGGCGCGGCCTTCGGGACCGAGGCCTAGTTCGCAGAACACACGCTCAAGAGGAAGGGTCAGGCATCGGCCCTGCTCGCCCAGTTGCAGGACGTGGACCACTGTCAGGGAGGGTTGCTGATGCTGCGGGCTTGTGCGGGGTTTTGCAAGCTCGCCAACTCGGCCAGAGTGGTCCCTCCCCGCCTACATCTTGAGGCCCTCAGGCTTTGCTCGCTGGACCTGCGGAGCGGCCTGGAGGTCCTGGCGGAGGCGGAGCTCACGGACCACGCGTGGTTGCAAGCGCAGCTGAGTATCGCGAATGGCGGCCTCGGGCTGCGTGGCGCAGCGGTGCACGCCCCAGCGGCGTGCGTCTCGTCTGTCTGGTCGTGCCGGAGCCTCTGCGCACGTATCGACCCCAACTTCGACGCCATCTGCGATGGCGGCGATTTCGCGGCGGCTCTCGCTGCCCCCAGGGGGAGCTGCTTGGAGGCGGCCAGCTTGCATCTGCCAGAGGGCGCTGTCCGGCAGAAGGAACTCTCGGCCCTCATCGACGGCCAACTGAAGACCCAGCTCAGGGCGGAGGCACGGGCCGAGGGGTCACGACTCGCTCACCTTTCCTTGGTCTCGGATATCCCCTCAAGCAGCACTGGGAACTAAACCGTCTTGAGCCTAGTGTTGGCTCAAGAGAGGGGCACAAAGGGAGGAGCGGCCTCAGACTGTGATGATGACCTTTGATGACCTTTTGCCAAGGAGCAATGCTGCTTGCTCCGATGGCGCCCGGCGCACCACGCGCCGGCGCCGGTCTTGGGCCGCGCGTCGCGGGCCACGCCGCCGCCAAGGCACTGCAGCGCCGTGGCGGCCTCGAAAAGTCCAGAACAGGGCGGGTAATGAGGCCCCCAACGGGGCCTCAAGGGTGGGCCAGCTTGGCCTCAAAAGGCCTGAGCCGCCGAATGGCGGTGGGAAAGGAGGGGGAGAGAGGGCAAGCAAGAGGCAAGGGCAGGAGCGAGGGGACCAAGAGAGAAAGCCCGCGCCACTCCTGGAAACGGGGGGATCCATCAGTTTTACCAAACATCCTAGATATCCCCTCAAGCAGCACTGGGAACTAAACCGTCTTGAGCCTAGTGTTGGCTCAAGAGAGGAGCACAAAGGGAGGAGCGGTCTCAGACTGCGATGATGACCTTTGATGACCTTTTGCCAAGGAGCAATGCTGCTTGCTCCGCTGGCGCCCGGCGCATCACGCGCCGGCGCCGGTTTTGGGCCACGCGTCGCGGGCCACGCCGCCCATCTCCTCCTGTGAGTACTCCACCGCGCCGAACAAGCTGTAGTGGGTTACGCAGACGCCGAACTTCCCGGCGTCGAACTAAGCAGTCCCGGCTTCTGCGGCACGCTGCCGCTTCCGCCCGTCAAGGTGAGTCCGCAGGCGCAGGGCGGCACGCCGCCGGCGCCCGCGGGGGTTCTTCGCGCGCCCAGCGCGGCAGCCCGGCTGGGCTAGCCGCCGGCGCCTCTCGCATCCGCCACCGCCGTCCCCCATGACGGCGCTGCCGGAGCCAGGCCGGCGCGGCGCTCTGCCCTCAGGCGCCAGCTGCCGCCGCCCGCGCCCAGTTGCTCGCATGCGCAAGGTTGATCGCGAGCGCCAGGCTGAACTCAGCCGGCGCCGCGTGGCCGCTCGCACGGCTGTTGCCGGCGGCGGACCTCTGCGGCAAGCTGCCGCGTCCGCCCAGCAACGTGGGTCCGCAGGCGCGGGGCGGCACGCCGCCGGCGCCCGCGGGGTTCCCCATGCGCCCGTGCGGCCGCCCTCGCTGGGCTAGCCGCCGGCGCCCCCTCGTAGCCGCCACCGCCGTCCCCTCCTGACGGCGCTGCCGGTGCCAGGCCGGCGCGGCGCTCTGCCCTCGGGCACCAGCGGCCGCTGCCCGCGCCCAGCTGCTCGCAAGCGCAGAGTGATCGCGAGCGCCGGGCTGAACTCAGCCGGCGCCGCGTGGCCGCCCGCGCAGCGGTTGCTGGCGGCGGACCTCCGCTGCCCGCCCGGCCATTGGCCGGCGGCAGCCACGCACCTCAGTCACGATGCGGCCTCTGCTCTCCTCCCCGGGGCCATTCGGGCGACCCGCGGTGCCCTGACGGGGCTACTTCGCGCGTCACCTCGTTGGCCCGGCGGAAGCCTTGGGTCTCGTGCACGTACCTCACGCCGTTGTAGTGCACCGGGCCCATCACTCCTGCGTCGCAGTGCGTCTTCTGCGGCTGCTTGGGGAGCCTGGGCGCCTTGGGCGTCGGCTGCGCTGTGGCCTGCTGTGCCTCTGGCTCCAGCCTCTTCTCGTTCTTCTTGGCTGTCCCACAGCAGCAGCAGTAGAGCCCCCCGACGCTCCCAGCAAGCAGCACTGCGATCGTGGCCACCACCTTCAGCGCCGTCTCCACTGGGAAGACGATCGCCACCGTGCCCATCTGCGGCTCCCAGCGAAACGTGACCCCGTGGGCCCTGTCGTCGACCGCCGCCATCTCGTGGCTCTGTCTCTCCCCAGCGGCCGTTGCGAGTGCCGTCGCCGCCAGCGCTGCGCACAGCGTGCCTGCCCGGGGGTTGCGGGCTCTGCGGCCGCCGCTGCGCCCACGGGTCGCCCGTCCGCTCCTTCGCTGCTGCCTGTGCCGCCAAAGGGCGCTCAACAGCGCCGCTGCCAGCAGCGCCCCTGCTGTCGTCGCCCGCGCCCCCCAGCCGACCGGGAGCGCGAGGGTCAGCAGGTTCTGGCTCTCCGCCGGGTCGACCTGGATCACGTAGCCGTCTGCGCTGCTAGCCATGGCGGCGAGTGTCGTCGCGGCCAGCGCCGCCCTGGGCCACCGTGAGGTCGGGCTCTTGCCCGCGCGGCGCTCGCCCTCGGCCGAGTGGGCCGGCGGCGCCGTGAGCTCGGACGTATCTGTCGCCATGTCGGTCGGGATGCCGCGCATGGGCTCATGGCTCTCCCACAGGCACCCGTGGAAGCTGTCGGAGGCCCAGCGCCCGAAGCGCTTGACGCGCTGCAGGTCGTCCACGGCGTGGTACATCGCTGTTGCGCCTCCGATGCGGAGGCTATGTGAGCCGATCTCCTCCTTCCTCAGCCCGGCAGCCAGCCCCGCGATCGCCAAGTAGTGCTGCACCTCCTCGCGGCGGATGGGTGCGCCGCTCGCCCAGCGGAAGAGCGGGAGCTCCTCCTCCCTCCTTCGCAGCCTCTGCGGGTAGTGCTGCTCCAGTTGACGGACGGCGGCCACGGGGCACAGTGACGTGCCCGTCTGGCACTGGTTCCTCACGCACCCCACATTGTACTGGTCCGTCTTCGACGAGGTGATGTGGAGCACCACCTCCACCGCGCCCTTGAAGGTGCAGGGCTGGTTGTTGCCGCCGCGGCCCGTGATGTCCACGCCGCGCGCGACGCGCTCGCGGCCCCATGTCTTCCCAGGCTGGACCAGATACTCCGACGCCCTCAACATGAAGAAGAAGGCCACCACCACGGCGGCCCACAGGACCGCGGCGTCCGTCTCGGGGAGGTCAGCTTGGCCCCTCAAGAAGCCCTGGAGCCGCAGGAGCATGCGTGGTGTCACTGGCCGCTTCCGCCCGCTCGGCCCTTGGCCCCTCCGAAGGCCGGCGAGCGTGGGCCAGAGGCGCCCCCGGTGAAGGAGGGGGTCTGGATATCCGACCACGAGGTGGGCGAAGCGCACGGCGAACAATTTCTGTTTGATCGTGCCTTCTGCGCTTCAGCACTTTGGCCAGCACGACGACGAAACCCAGCAGCGCCTCCTCGTTGGCGTGGCGCTCCTCGCGATCGCGCCCCTCCAGCCAGGGCGACTCGCCCTGGGCCGCTCGGAGGCCCTGCCACTGCCGCCAGCCGGTCTCGTAGCCGGCGCGGGTCCCCTCGGACAGCCGTAGCATCAGCGCCTCGCGCTTCTGTTCCTCGATCCACCCGCCGTAGTCCTCCAGGGTCGGGTGGTCCGGCAGGGCGATGGCGGCCCGGGCTCTGCCCAGCGCGACCGGCTTGACCAGCCCCTTGGTCTCCACCTTCTTGCCCCGGTTGGGGCTCCGCTTCCGCTGCTTCTTGGGCGCACCGACCGTGGCGTTCAAGTCCACATCCTTGGCGTCAGGAGGGGCCTCGGGGCCCCGTGCGAGGTCCTCCTCAATTGCCTTGAAGCGGACACCCTGGCTCTTGCGCCTCGCCTTCCCCCGACCTGCTTCCTCCATACCTTCCATGTAGAAGGTTCGGACGACAAAAGCGCAACATAATGTCCCACTTTGTCCGTTTATGTCTTGTTTGTCTTCAAATGTCTTGATATGTCTTGCATGTCGTCAAATGTCTTGAAATGTCTTGTATTTGGGTTAAAACTCATCATCATCATCATCATCATCATTATCATCATCATCATCATCATCATCATCATCACCATCACCATCACCATCACCATTCACCACTCACCATTCACCATTCACCATTCACCATTCACCATTCACCATTCACCACTCACCATTCACCATTCACCATCATCATCAGCATCATCATCATCAGCAGCATCATCATCACCATGAACAATCATCGGTGTCATCATCACTACCATCACCATCATCGTCATCATCATCACCATCATGATAATGATGGTCATGATGGGCATGAGGATGATCAGGATGAACAGAATGAGAAGTTTGGCCCAAATCTTCACCATGCCAGCGTACCCGATCCCACGACCGTGGCACTTCCCATACTTTCGAGGCCAACCCCTTCCCCCATGGACGCCCCGTGGGTGGCACGTCCCGCCCGGCTCAACGGACACGTTTTTCATCATGGATACGATCAAGCTGGAAGGTCTGGTGTGGATCATTCCAGGCGGCGGCAGTTTGGAACTCTGCTTCGAGGGCCCACCAGGCCTCTCGGAGATCACGTGCCTGGTCTTCAGGTGGGGCCATGCATGCGGCTACCCATGGCCGCCCAGGGCATACTTAAACGGTGGGCCGCGTCTCCCCTTAAGATCCGCGCGAGGGGCGCGCCGAAAGTTTGCATCTAGATCTCACCCCTTAATGCCCCTGGTGCCACGTGTACGAACGCACGGCCAGGACCCAGTACTTCATCTGCAGGTGAAGGTAGGGTGGCAAAAACAAAAATCAAACAAATCATCGTGGCCGCGACCGAACAGCTCCTCCACCTCCAGCTCCTCCTCCTCGTTCTTTTATGCTGCAACCCTCCCTTCTCCCCCCTCCTCCTTCCTCCTCCTTCTTCCTCATTCCTCCCTTCTCCCTCCTTTCACCCCTCCCGTATCCTACTCATTCTGTTTTCTTCTCCATCCTCATTCCTCCACATCTCTTCCCCGCTGCAGGTTCCCCCTGCTCCTCTCTCACCATTCATGCTCCTCCCTCCTCCTTCCTCCTCCACTTACCTGTCTTATCATTCCTCCTCCTCCTCCTCCTCCTCGATCGGCTCGAACGGTTCCAGAGGCTGCCCTGCCCTCGTACCCCCGCAGGGGCTTCAGAGCTCTGCGATGGCGGACATCCAGGGCCGCATCTCCAAAGCGATCAGGGAGATCGCAGGCACGAAGACAGACGGCGAGATGATCTCGTGGAACACGCACGGGAGCAAACGCACAAGAGGGTTAGCTACATACTTGCTAGAGACAGGGCAATGGAGGCTCATACGCAGGCTCCAGGAGATCAGCCCGACCCTCCGGTTCGACATCGGAGACCTAGAGATTGGGATGTTCGGGGTGCCACGGGTTGAAACATACCCCAGGGGGAGGGGGAGGAAGAGGAGGAGGAGGAGGAGGAGGAGAGGAGGAGGAGGAGGAGGAGGAGGAGGAGGAGGAAGGTGAAAATAGGCAGGAAAATTACCCCAGTGCGACCCTACCTAGAAGTTGGAGCCCCTAGGAAAGCAGCATTAGTTGCTATGCTACGCTATGCGATGCTATGCCATGCTATGGTGTGCTATGCTATGCTATGCCATGCTATGCTATGCTGCACTATGCTATGCTATGCTATGCTAAGCTATGCTATGTCATGCTGCGCTATGCTATGCTAAGCTACGCTATGCTATGCTATGCTATGCTGCGCTATGCTATAATATGTTATGTTATGCTATGATATGATTGGCTATGTTATGCTGCGCTATGCTATGCTATGCTATGATGTGCTCTCGGATGCTAAAGCTCAGCGAAGCTAAGATGAAGGTAAGCTCAGCTAAGATAAACATGAGCTAAGATGAAGCTAAGCTAAGCGAAGATGAAATAAGCTAAGCTAAGATGAGATAAGCAACGCTAAGCTAAGGGGACGTAACTGGGGGAACCGCGGGGCGTATACTGGGGGAACCGCCCGGGCCAGTTCCCACTGCCCGGCCCTTTAAGCCAAGAGAGTAAGAACCCTTCTAGGCAGAGCCCAGGTAGGGAATTAGGAAGAGGAATACGCCAATCAAATGCAGGGACTCGGGTGCCCTGCCGAGAAGGCCTGCGAGCAGGCGAAGAGGCTCTTGGATCTGCTCAGCGCGTGGAGGCGCATCGAGAGGTGGGGTCGCTTTCAAACGGGCCGCCCGCATCAGACGACCTTATCCTTTACCTCGTCTTCTCCTGCTCCTCCTCCTCCTCCCCCTTGCCCTTGCCCTGTTATACCCCCCATCCTCCTCCCCCGCCTCCCAGTTTATCCTCGACGTCGCCCAGGGGGTCTGATGCGGCCCCCATTTGAAAGCAGCACCGCCCTCAAGGGAAGAGTACGAAGTGCCCAAGGAGCTCACCAAACTCATGTCGAAGCCGCTGCCCCCGATAGCGATGCCGACACCACAGCAGCAGCGTGCAGACACTCAGAGAAGAATGGGCCGCATGATGATGGAGAGCTCAGACGACGAGGCGGTGACATCTGACATTGGCAAGGGCAAGGGCGGCCGCAGCAGCAAGGGCATGGCCAGCAGCAAGGGCAAGGGCAAGGGCACAATCGTCGCGCAGTTGCAGGACGCCACCAGCAGCTGCAACGCATCGCAAGCACAGCCCTTGCAGGACGGCAGCCCAGACACCAGCGGGGACAAGAGCCGCGAGGCCGAGGGCGAGGAGAGCGAGGACGCTCCTCTCCTCCATCCTCTTCGTCTCATTGTCATCTCCTCTTCCTCTTCATATCCTCCATGCTTTCCTCCATCCTTCCTCATGTCCTTCACCGCCCTCTTCTCTTAATATCCGCTTCTTCTTTCCTCTGCCGGTCTTCTTCCTCTCTCTACCCCATCCTCCTTCCATCACTGCCCTTCGTCTTAATATTCATCTCCTCCATCCCCCTCTTCCTCCTCCCCCATCTCTCCTCCATCCGCCCCAGGACGAGGGCAGCAGCATCGAGGATAGCGAGTCCGAAGACGCCTTCGACCCTGATGACATTGCCTTGAGTGGGTCCGACCACGAGGTCAATGTAGATGCGAAGAAGCCGCACACCGATTTCACGATGAAGCAGAACTGGGCCCACCGCAACGTGGATGACCAACCCGCGGACGGAGCCGTGCCGTCCAAGACGGGCTACGCGATCTTCACATGGAAGGACGGTGACAGGTGGTGCCCAACGCCGAGGGTCACGATGGAGCAGATCGGCTACGCCAAGAAGGTAGAGAAGCGGGTCGAGGCCAAGGGCAGCGACGCGCAGGGCTCCAATGGCAAGAAGAAGACGAGGGACGACTCACCTGCCACGGGCCAGGACGCGAAGTCGCCAGGCAGTATCAGTGCTGGGGGCAAGAGCCTTGGCAAGGGAAAGAGCAAGGGCAAGAAGGGCAAGGGCATGGACGACGTCAAGGTGGACAGCAAGAAGGGCAGGTCCAAGGGCAAGAGCAGCAAGGACGTCAGCGACAAGCAGGTGGGCAGCACGAAGGGCGCGTCCAAGGGCAAGGGCAACAAGGTCAAAGGCGTGCAGGTCGAGCAGGACAAGCGCACGATGCAGTCGATCATTTCGGCGGTGCGGCCCATGTGCGAGAAGCACGAGGGCTTCTACGCGGGACGGGTGCACAAAAGTAGTTCGCAATCGTTGAGGTCCTTGGAGGCATTGTAGGCTTCCCCCGTCATCCAATCCTCCCCTGTCTCTGGGTGCCCCTCGGTGTCCCTGGATGTCCCTGGGTGTCCCTCGGTGTCCCTGGGTGTCCCTCGGTGTCCCTGGGTGTCCTTCGGTGTCCCTAGGTGTCCCTCGGTGTCCCTGGGTGCCCCTGGAGATACCTGGGGGCATCCAAGGGCGCCCGCAGACATCCAGAGACATAATGTTCCCCAGGGGCCTCGACGAGTTAGATTTACTTTTGAACATCCTTGCCCCTAGGTGGGCATCAACCTGCGCCCCAAGCTGGCCAACGGAGGCTGGGGGGTCTTCATCAAGGACCGCAGTGGGCAGAGGTTCCAGCGGACGAGCAGACAAAGCGAGATCGGTGGCGAAGAAGGCCTACGTGCTACTGTGACCGAGGCGAACAACATGATGATCAAGATGGCCGACGCTGAGAAGGCTGCAGCAGAGATGTCGAAGAAGCGCGACACGTCGAAGGAGAATGGCAAGCCGATCGAGAAGCCCGAGGAGAACCCCGAGGAGAAGCCCGAGGAGAAGCCCGAGGAGAAGCCCGAGGAGGCTGACGAGATCATCGAGGAGGTCGAGGAGGACCGCGAGACCGTGGTGGGCTCCCAGCCGAACGACGGCGTTGAGGACAGGTGAAGCGTTAAACAGATAATCCTATCCTCCTCCTCCTCCTCCTCCTCCTCCTCATCATCATCATCATCGTCATCATCATCATCATCATCATCATCATCATCATCAGCATCATCATCCTATCCTTCTCCCCCTCTAATCCTCCTCCTCCTCCTCCTTGTCCTCCTCCTCTTCCTCTTCCTCATCCTCATATCCTCCTCCTCCTCCTCCTCCTCCTCCTCCTCCTCCTCATCATCATCATCATCCCATCCACCTCCTCCTCTTTTCCCTCGCATTACTTCCCCCCGTCCTCCGAAAGGACCTCCCGGAGTTCGGCGAGGAGAGGGGGCCCGGAGAAGGCGACGAGGACGAGCCCGACCGCAAGCGCCTCCGCGCGGAGGACTGAGACTATGCTAGAGAGCTGCGCGCGTTGAAAGGAGGAGGGAGGGGAGGGTGGAGGGTGGATATAGAGGGAGGGGGAGGGTGGAGGGCGACAGGGGGCAGGGGAGTGGGGGGGGAGGGATGGATGGAGGGTAGAGGATGGATAGAGGGAGGGTGGCGGGTGGATGGAGGGAGGTAGTACAAGAGCGGTAGGAGGGTGAGGAGCGTGGATGGAGGTTGGAGGGCAGGGGGAGGGTAGAGGGAGAGAGCGGTAGTAGATGGAGGGAGGGAGGGAGGGAGGGAGGAGGGATGACACGACTCCGCAAGGCGCGCAGCTCTCTAGTCAGAGACGAGTCTCGCCGGGGAGAGCTCGCCGGGGCCGAAGGAGTATTGCGCGCAGCGCGCGTGCTCGTGGGGCGGCCACGGCGACAATTTCAGTGAAGAAAAACACGAATCTAGCCCACTCTGTGCCTGGGTTGCGGGTCACTGTGCCTGGGATGGGGTTAAGACAGGAGGATGCCCACCCCATCAGTGTGCCTGGAGTGTGGGTCACTGTGCCTGGGTTGTGGATCACTGCGCCTGGGTTGTGGGTCACTGTGCCTGGGTTGTGGGTCACTGTGTCTGGGTTGTGGGTCACTGTGCCTGGGTTGAGGGTCAGTAAGACAGGAGGAAGCCAACCCTATGTGCCTGGTGTGTGGGTCACTGTGCCTGGGTTGTGGATTACTGCGCCTGGGTTGTGGGTCACTGTGCCTGGGTTGTGGGTCGCTGTGCCTGGGTTGTGGGTCACTGTGCCTGAGTCGAGGGTCAGTAAGACAGGAGGAAGCCCATCCCGTCACTGTGCCTGGAGTGTGGGTCACTGTGCCTGGGTTGTGGATCACAGTGCCTGGGTTGTGGGAGGAAGCCCATGTGGGTCACTGTGCCTGGGTTGTGGGTCACTGTGCACTGTGCGCCTGGGTTGTGGGTCACAATGCCTGGACTGCGGGTCAGAGGCTTGATGAAAGCCTCCTGGGATATCCCAGGCGCGTCACCCCTGCAACGCAGCGCCTGGGCTCAATGAGGTGTCCTAAATTCAGATTTGCCACCGACTGCAGCGGATGCGATGCCCCAACTTTCGCCTTGAAGCAAACGTCGTTCGTCAAGGACAAGCGCATACGTTTGCGGCAGCGGTGGGCCTCGGACATAAGCGATGTCTAGTGGCCTTCGGCAAAGCCCGCCAGCCTGCCTGGAGCGAAGGGCGTCTTGAGGGCCTTTTGGGGCCTGTTCGGCTCCCATCAGGGGCCCCCTGGGGCCTTTCGGAGCCCTCTTGGGCCGCCCCAGAGCCCCTTCGGACGTCGTCGAGCCCTCAGGGGCCGATCGTGAAAGCCTCTTAGGCCGTCTGGGAGCGCTGAAAATCCGTAGCCTCGGGCCTCTTGGGAATCAGTGGAGCCCCATGTGGCCGTCTTGGGGGCCTCTTAGACTGTCTTGAGGTTGTTTTGGGGCATTTCGTCACAGGTCGTTTTGTTTTGGGGCACTCCTGTCAACGCCTTGCTGGCATGGCTGTGGATTTGTCGTCGTTTCATCTGTGCCAACCATCGGCCAAAATTTTTATTCAGCGACATGGCCAAGCGGGACAATAGAGAGTTGAACTTGCATAGGAAGCCTCTAGATTGTCTCATTCTTGGTTTTCCCTGCCAGCCATTTTCGGCACTGGGACTGAAGCGAGGCTGGAAAGACAAGCGGAAATCGAAGCCATACAAAGCATTTACAGACCTGTTAAAGGAGTATCCAGGTTGCATAAAGTCTGTGCTCATTGAGAATGTGAAAGGACTGGTGACTCACGACAAAGGCAGATCGTTGATGCGCGTGCTGACAGATTTAGGTTGTTTAGGATTTAAAGTACGGTGGCGGATGTATTCGTCGAGCGACTTCGGTTTGCCCCAGAGACGTCAGCGGGCGTGGATTCTCGGAATTCACAATAGTGTCGCAGCGATGCCTAAACTCCCTCGCCCACCATGCCCAGATGTGCCGCCCATAGGTGATTTTTTATCAGACGACAGAGGCCCTCATGGAGCGCTGCCGACCGTGGAGCCCGGCACCCATGCAGCGTGTAATTTACAATGCGTTCTTAGACGCCTCAAGAAGCTTGGGCACGACCCTGACACAGAGGATTGGGTCATAGATGTCGAGTCGAAGGCTTGCGCCGCATCCGCTGGGACTCCTTCGGCCCCTTGTGTATTTTCGGGCCCATTGCATGCCCGCAGCGCGGGGCAGCACACCATTTTCTGCTTGGTGGCGTGGCCGCAGACTGCGCCGGCGGATTCTTCGCGGCGATATGTCACAGGATATAAGGACTTCTCTCCCACGCTGACACGCTCGCGAGGGGCAGGATTCTGGGTCACGTCCCGGCGCAGGCGTTTAACGGCAGCAGAGCAATTTGCAATTCAAGGTTTTTCGCCCGAAGGGATCGTTGCAGTGGGATCCCCCCTCCAAATGGGGCAACTAGCAGGCAACACTATGTCCCTGCCAGTTCTCACTCGCATTTTTGAATCTCTTATACCAGAATTGTCCAGGAGGCTCTTGCTGTGCCCGACGACCCCAGCTTCATTTCCACTTAAGTTGTTCAAGCGGGGTCTCAAGCGCACATCTAGCCTGTCCCCTCAGAGGGGCCAGGCGGAGTACCCGAGGTAGATACAGGCTCCTCGGAAACATAATGCTGTGCTGCCGCCGCAGTGGCTCTGTACTCCTTTGCGCCAGTGCGGCAGGCTTATGGACCTGCTGACCCAGGCAAAATCCAGACAGCTGGGGTGGTCTTGGGGGGTCGTTTAGTTTGACTTGCACGGGAGGGCACGTTGCAGCATCAGTGATGTGTACTGCGTTTGTTCCTGCTGAAAGGTCGGGGAGCCTCACGGTGCACCAAATGCCCCAAGTCTTGGTGTCGCTACGTGTCCCAAAGTGTCTTCGCATGTCCTTGGATGTCTCGTGGTAATGCTATGTGTCCCGCGGTGTCTTCGAATGTCCCTGGATGTCTCGTCGTGACGCTACGTGTCCCGCGGTGTCTTCGAATGTCCCTGGATGTCTTCGTGTCGCTACGTGTCCCGCGGTGTCTTCGAATGTCCCTGGATGTCTCTTGGTGTCGCTCGGTGTCCTGTGGAATCTCCGCATGTCCCTGAATGTCTCTTGGTGTCTCTACGTGTCCCGCGTTGTCTTCGAATGTCCCTGGATGTCTCTTCGTGTCGCTACGTGTCCCGCGGTGTCTTCGAATGTCCCTCGCTACGTGTCCCACTGTGTCTTCGCATGTCCCTGGATGTCGCTTGGTGTCGCTGCGTGTCCCACGGTGTCTCCGAATGTCCCTGGATGTCTCCTGGTGTCGCTACATGTCCCACGGTGTCTTTGCATGTCCCTGGATTGGATGTCCCTTGGTGTCGCTGTATGTCCCACGGTGTCTCCCAATGTCCCTGGATGTTTCCTGGTGTCGCTATATGCCCCACGGTGTCTTCGAGTGTCCCTGGAGGTCTCCTGGTATCGCTATGTCCCACGGTGTCTCCGAATGTCCCTGAATGCCTCTTGGTGTCGCTACGTGCCCCGCGGTGTCTTCGAATGGTCTCTTGGTGTCACTACGTGTCCCGCGGTGTCTTCGCAGGGCCCTGATTGTCCCTGCGTGTCTTTCGATATCGATTGATGGCTACCTACTGTTTGCGAGCCCCGCAGATCTCATACCCCACGCAATTATCAGTGTGTCCTCGTCCTCCTCGTTGTTCCTCGTCCTCGCCTCCTCCTCCTCCTCCTCCTCCTCCTCCTCCTCCTCCCTCCCTCCCCCGGGAGGCCTCCGGGGTGGGGGCGAGCGGGAAGCGGCGCAGCGCGCGGCGCCCGCGGCCCCCGCGACCGCCCCGCCGCCGCCCTCGCCCCGCCCCGCCGCCCCGCCGCCCCGCCGCCCCGGGGGGCCGCGCAGAGGAGCAAGAGGAAAGAGAATAGGAAAGAGCAAGAGGGCGAGGAGAAAGAGGAAGAGGAAGAGGATATGAACAGGATGAGGAGGAGGAGCATGAAGAGGAGAAAGGAGGGCGAGGAAGAGGAAGAGGGACAGGAAGAGGAAGAGGATGGCAAAACGCCAATCTCATGATCGTGAGTGAAGCGCAGAGGGGCCCGTGGCGGAGGGTGGTCCCGTCGGGCCCTGCCACCGAAACCTACGAAATTCTTGACGCTTCGCGTATCCCCACAAGCCCATCCAGAAACGATCAGCAGGGGCGTTGGTAAATCAGGGGCTTGGAAGTTTAGGATGGAAATCGGTGCAAACTACGATGGTGCTTCGATGAAGGGTGAGGGGTGGTTCGATGACTCGCAATGGCTGTTGCACTGATGTGTCTATCAAACTCGCGTGCGTTTCGAAACTTTGAGCCATCTTGAGGCTCTCTTGGGGTTATCGTGGGGCCCTCTTGGGGCCCTCCTGGAGCTCGTCCTTGGGGCTCTCCTGAGGTCCTCCTAGGGTCTTCTTGGAGCC